CTGAGTATTTCCAAGTCAAAGCAGCGACGTCCCGTCCTGAGGAACACCTGCGCTCATTTAAACTGAGATCACAAAAAGCTGCGGCTCGCGTTTAAAAAGTGTGAGCAGCTGCAGCTTTTAATTGGCCGACCGGAGCGCCGCTGAGCAGAGCTGGAAGCACAGACCCAACCGCAGCGCGAGTCCGTCAGATTTGCATGCAGACAAACGGCCAATCAAATCCAAGAACACCGATTCATCAAACCGGCGCTGTAGCCTCCAGGAGACGCGGGTCTCCTTCACCGCCAGGTTTACTTCAGACTTTAGTGTGAAATCCTCGCAGAGGCGCTCAGGTCAGAGGTCAGAGGTCACTTTAGGGAAACACAAAGGTTTCAAAACTGCACGTCTGCTCTGCAGCGCTGTTCATTCATGGAGTTCAGGGCGGAGCCAGAGGCTGACACCTTTCACGTGTTTGATGATGACATCACAGGTCACTGCAGGGTCACAAACGCACGTTTTTTCTACTCTTTCTGAGCCAAACATCAGACGGAGACGTGTCTCCATCGCTGCGAGACGCCGAGCAGATGGTGACGACTTCTGGGCTGATCTGTGCTGTGAGTCCAGCTGTGGAGATGACAGGAAGCCGTGTCCCCACGCGTGGACAGAGACATCAGCGCTCGGGTTTTTGTGAAGGTCCAAGTGTCTCAGATCTGTTCTAAGAAAGAAGGGAGACGTCTGGATGCACAGCAGCTACAGGAGCACCTTTATTTAATCTGCACAGAGACTCGAGCTGCAGGGCCCGGCTCGTCCCACAGCTCCGTGTTTCCTGACTGTCTTAGTGATGCCGCCATTATTTCTGCTGTATGTGGCGTTCAGGGCGTGCTGAGGCTTTAGACAAGCGTGTTCTGAGAGTTTAGTGGTGCAGAGCTGCTACCTCTGAGGGTAAAAAGGGAAAAACTCACTTTTTGTACAAATGTCCCAGAAACAGATCTGAAATAAATATTTTTCTGAAACTCAAAGACGTCTCGTGTTTCACTCCATCTGCTCGCTGTAGTGTGCAGCTCAATGTTTTTATGTATCTCATGACCTTATTCAGTAATAACAATTATTATTGTGATGATCTAATGATCCTGTAAAATGCTCTGTGTCTTTTCTGCATCAGCATAGTCAGCATCTACCTGCAGCTTCCCAACTCTGATGTGTTTCTGTAAACGTCCCTCCACCCTCGCTGTGAGCTCCACCCTCTCTGTGAGCTCCACCTGCTCTCACAGAGCTGCATGTAGTAAAATGGGACAAAGAGCCTCTGCTGCTCAGTTCTGTTGTTATTAAATCTGTTTAATGTTTGCACATGAACAACGAGGGCTTCAGTCTGCACAGAGACTGAAGGACAAATGTGTGGAAGCAATCCGGCCTCGGGTCTCACAGCAGGAGGCAAACCAGAAGAGTCCCTCAGACGGGGTCTGTAAAAAAGGACAACTAGTACCCACGGGGGGGTACGCAGGCAGCACAGCGCTCGCTTTGAGCTGCTGTGGATGAAACTGTCTGCAAACACTTTTCTAACACAAAGGGAAACTTCATACTGCAGTGTGACTGCAATAAAGTCTGCTGCTCTCCCTGAAGCTCTCAAACTTCTGCTCCAAACTCAGCAGCTGCTCCACGAAGATCTGCTGCAGGT